AAGCCTCAGCGAATAATGAAGAGACTTCCAGGTCATTCCAGCATTCAACAATGAAAGGAAGCTTGCCAAGCACGATTGTTGTTGTCTTGTCCTTATGCACACAAAGAACAAACCCATACCCTTTCTAAATGTTAATACGGTACAGAGCCGACTAGTCGACTCTATTGCCTACCAACTTTAGGTAAGGATGTATGCTCATGAATAGGCTTTTTGTACTATTCATTGTTGCAAAGGACAAGCCTTCCTCTTAAGGCTTGACACGCACTCTGACCCTACCATATTGTATTAAATGAACATTTAATGCATTAGGTATAAATAGAAGTGTTTCTTCTCCATGCAGAGTGCGCGCGCAACACACTCTCTTAACCTAATTCTTACTTTGAGCATTCTAGAGCTTAAGTAAAAGAATTTTTTTTACAGCATTTCTTTTMTCATTTGCTAAGATTCTGTRTGTAACCAAAGATTGTTTAGATAGGTTTTCTTACCTTATCTTTCCGCAAACAGTCTTGTAAAATTTGTATTGATCTTTTTTTATCAATATACATTTTAAATTTGAAAATACTGTGTTTGTATTCATCCCCCCCTTCTACAAATTGTTATACATATCTTGTAGACCCTCAAGGGACCAACAATTAAACTCACTCAGATATGGATGTCCTCTTGGGTAGGGTTGTTGGTTCTGACAGTCCATAGAGGTATTTTTGTAAAGCTCTCAGTYCCTCCAAAAAAWTTTACATTGTAAGCTCATTTGATCACAAATGATTGATAAAAAATAATATTGCAATGAATCTCATTTGATCATATGAAATTTGATCAAGAATAAATTTTCAATTAAGTACATGTACAGTTAAGGAGTGATGCACAAATCAGATTATTCAAAAAAATTATTGGAAGAAATGAACGAAGATCTATAAGAACACATTTACGGATTTATTCAATCAAAGAATAAAGAAATGTGTATCAATAAAAGAATTATTTTTCAGATAAGCTCAGAAAACAACATTGAATACAAATGAGTGTATTATCACCGAAAATAATTTATTCTTTTAGAGACTTGATAATAACAATTTGAAGGATAGCTGAAACAAGTATTGGAAATATGTACGAAAAGAAAATACACAAGTAAAATCTCAATGAAATACTTGTTCAAAAAATAGTACTCGTTTCCAAAAAGAAATAAAATTAAAATCATTTAAAATTCTCACTTCTTAGAAATGAAAAACGTTTAAGTTCAAAGAAGTTGTTTGAACATTTTAGGAAAACATTTTATATACAAAGAAGTTGTTCTTCTTCAATGCATATTTAGAAAAAGTTAAGAATGATATACYTGACAAAAATGACAGATCAGCTTGAAATGATGATGATGGACTCCCCCTTGATGACACAACTCAAAACACTCAAACAAATTATTAGAATTTGACATTAAAGCACAATAAGATCAAATACAGATGAAAAAATTAAGCTTAAGCTCYCCCTTGAAAGATGGATCAAATTTTCATCCAGACAGATTAAGCATTCCAAGCTTGTTTACTAAAAATGAAAACCTTTTCTCGTCGAGAGTTTTGTGAAAATGTCAGCAAGTTGGAAATGAGTCTGCACAAAATGCATCTCAATTAAGCTTTTTTCTACATTATTCTTAATGAAATGATACYTGATATCAATGTATTTGGTCTTAGAGTGTTGAAYTGGATTAGAAGTTATTGCAATCGCGTTTTTTGAATTGCAGTTGATAGGAACTTTATTAAATGTGTACCCRTAGTCTAGAAGTTGTGCCTTCATCCACAAAACTTGTGAACAACAACTAGCTGCTGCAACATATTCTGCTACAACAGTAGAAGTTGAAACACAGTTTTGCTTCTTCGAAGTCCAACTTACTAGCTTGTCGCCTAAGAATTGACAGGATCCAGAAGTGCTCTTTCTATTCAGTTTGCAACCTGCATGGTCAGAATAAGTAAATGCAATTAGCTCAAAACCATATTCTTTTAGATACYAGAGGCCCAAATTTTGTGTGCCTTTGAGGTATCTAAGAATTCTTTTTACTGCAGCAAGATGTAACTCTTTTGGATTAGCCTGATATCTCGCACAAAAACATGTTGAAAACATTATATTTGGTCTACTTGAAGTTAAGTACAATAAAGATCCAATCATGGCACGGTAATTTTGTTGATCAACAGATTTTCTAGGTAAATCTGCATCCAATAAAGTACCAGTAACCACGGGAGTAATTATGGAAGAACATTCAGACATATTAAGTCTTTTTAAAATATCTTTTACATATTTGGACTGATTAATGAATATGCCATTAGGGAGGTGTTTTATTTTAAGACCAAGAAATTTAACTCTCCCATCATACTTATCTGAAATTTAGATTTCATGATGTCTGAGAAGTTCTTACAAAACTTAGGATTCGTATAACCAAAAATAATATCGTCAACATATATTTGAATCAAGATCATGTGTTTACCTTGCTTTTTAAGAAATAACATATTATCTATCGTACCTTTCTTGAAACCAGATTTTAGTAGGAATTGAGTTAGAGTATCATATCATGCCCAGGAGCTTGTTTCAAACCATATAAAGCTTTGTCTAGGACACAGACATGATCAGGTTTATGTGGATTAACAAAGCCTTCAGGCTGACTCACATAGACTTCTTCATGAAAAATACCATTTAGGAATGCCGATTTGACATCCATTTGGTAAACTTTGAAATTCTTGACATCCATTTGGTAAATTTTGAAATTCTTGTGAAAAATACCGTTTAGGAGCAAAGGTCTCGTCATAATCRATATCTTCTTGTTGACTTTAACCTTTAGCAACCAATCGRACTTTGTTTCTCACTACAATTCCCATCTCGTCCTTTTTGTTTTGGAAGACCCATTTTGAACMAATAATGGATTTGTCTTTTGGCCTCGGTATGAGTCTCAAGACTTRGTTCCTTTTGAATTCCCGAAGTTCATCTTGCATGGCATTGATTCAATTTAGATCTTGCAACRCTTCAGATGGCTTATTTGGCTCTATTGAACTAAGAAAGTTTACGAATTATTTGAGTAGGGGGATGATCTTTCGTCCACTTGTGAGTACAAGGAAGGGGTTGAACATCAATTAAGTTGTTTTGATCATCATATTCATCAGTTACAGGTTGAATTTCACTTTCAACTTCAGCGTGAAATTCTGATTCAGCTTCAGCTTGAATCTCATAATGTTCAGCTTCATTGGCAGGTTGAGAAGACTCAAATTGATCAATATCGGATTGAAAAATCTCTGGTTGAGTTTGTGCCTCAGCTTGAACATGTTCTGATTTAGTACCTTCAGTAGATTCAGGTTGGACAACATTTGATGTTGAACAACTAGCWTCAGATGGTCCAGAAAGTTAAACAACTTGCGGAATAGGGACTACTGGTTCATTCAACTTGGGTAGATCAGATATTTCGTAATCTTCAAGAATATACCAAGTAAGATCAAATGCGTCTTTAAACAAAKAATCTAAATTAGATTTTATAGAAGAATCAGAATTTATTATCCTGTTTGGAACAGGTTCTACACTGTTTTGTGTAKAAGTTAACTGTTGTAGCTTGACTCCCGAACTGATTTGTTCARAAGTCGAAGATTCATCGAATCTGACGTTGAGGCTTTCTATGACAGGTATGGAGGTAGAGTTGTTGGTCACCTTTATATAAAACAAAAGCCTAATAGGGTGTGGAGGTAGAGTCGTTGGTCACTTTCATTGATTGTGGTCCTCATTTTCTGGCCTCGAGCAACCGATGATTTCGAGTGAATTTTCATCTCTGTCGAAAGGCAAATTCATTAATTATTAGGTTTTCAAATTGGGTTGCGATGTGTTAATTGCTAGTGTCATTCTATCACTTCAAAGTCCCAAAATAARTGTCTAGTCCATTATGAAAAGACACACAATTTTATAAATGTGTAATTATTATACTTTTTAGTTAATGAAATGACAATTTTACTCATAATAATAGGAGTAGTTAATTTTTACATCTCATAATTAAGGTAGAATTAGAAAGTAGATATTACTTTTSGAAATGGACATAGGGAAAATCAATGTCAATTGCTTTCCTAGAATGGAACAAGATGRCTGTCTCAACCACACCAGAAAAAGCAGCACCACCGTCTATTTCATCGTCATGGGACGATAGCTCAAATTCAACAGGCATTTTGAGTGTCAACAACGATGAACGACCGACACTCCTTCAACGTTCAAACGTCGCTCAAATAATTGGTTTGGACACTAAGAAAGGAAAATTTAGGACTGCAAGTTTAGCCGTGTGTACATGAAAARCAGTCTCTCTTTATGCCCCATAGGGTTGAGGAAAGATTTTTCTACATCTTAACCTTTCTAGACCTACAGAAATTTTACTTTTGCATGAGATTTACTTGGCTTTTTATTTAGACATATGTACATGAAAACAACCTCTCAAYCCCATGCGATAGAGGAATGGTTTTTGTATAATTATACTTCCCAAACCTACACAGATTTAACTTCTACATGAGATTTACTGGGTTTGTTTGTTTTTGTTATTTAGCCATGTGTATATGGAAACAATCACTTTACCWTGTGRAATTTATCTATAACTATGTTCGATTCGGTTAGAAGGGAAGTAATGRTGAAAAACTAAGAAGAGATATCCACCCTCGGATCAATCCTAATTGAATGTCAACACTAATAAGGTGCACCTAGATGCACCGGATCAATTCCCTTCTAAAGCGCAATTCATGAGTGCGCATGAGATTAAAAGTGATCAAGGGTTCAATATMTTTTTTTATACTTCTCACGATAACATCCCTTATCATATGTGTGATTGCCAATAAGTTTGTTTGATTAGATTTGGTTATTTATTATTGTGTGCATTTTGTCAACTGAATTTAAATATCATACCCACCACTTCCACTTKTAATATAAACACATACATTTTTAGAATAAAAACCATAAAATCAGGTAAGAAAATAAACTATGATGCATCAGAAGTAGCTATTAAACCATTTTTATTCTCAAACTCGTTATTCATTTCTTTCCCTTCTTCAACCTTCTTCCATTGCTTCTCCTCCTCCCTAGCAGTGTCATAAGCTGCATGAAGTCCAAACAAGAAGTAATACACCAACAACAACCCAGTCCATGCTGCAAACCGAATGAACGAGTCCTTATCGATCGATCCAAGAAGGAAAATRTTGATCGCAATTGAAGCCGACGGCAGCCACGGTACCAACGGAACCCCCCACATCTTCGGTTCTCGTGCTTGTGGGACGAAAGCCCAAAGTGAGGTGGTTCCGGCTGCCCAAATTGGGACCGTKATGCAGTACCCGATCCAACCGTGTTTAGAGATYCCCCAATACGYGGCAGTGGCGCATGATGAAARGAGGATGGTTAGTAAGCAAGCGATGAGCTTGTTACGGTTGGCGGYGGTGGTGACGCCAGTGACRTAGTAGCGACGGACGAGGAGGGCGACGGCTACGAGCATGAATATGAAGAGTGTGGAKATGGAGAGGAGGTTTGAGAGGATGTCAAGTTTGGTGAAGAAAGCAACCACAGCCGTCGCCATGAGCATGACRACAGTTGCATTGACGGGGGTACCGGTCTTGGCGTCCACGATTGCAAACCATGGAGGCATCATATGTGTTCGAGCGATGTGAGTTAAATACCTACAATGGGTTTGAGATATTCATATAATCAGATTTAATGCAAATGCAWACTTTCACTTTTGAGATAGACCAAACCAAATGAATACATAATATCCTAGAGGTGATCATTGTAGCTTGGTCGTGCACAAGGCCTAAATTATTATTTTTATTCAACAGATCTAATCTAACAAATCCAAGCCTGTTTTTGCATACTTGATAATTTTTCATACCCGTCATATAAACAGGTCGGGCTTTCCTGCTAATGAGCCTAAAAACCTTTTACACGTACAAAAGGCAAAACTAATATAAAATAAGTCATGAAATTATTCAAAATGTAAATTGTTTTCCAACTTGAAATAACATAAAAATAATTTTACACAATATGAGGTATGGACATTTCCTCTCCTATAATTTATCAACACCCAGATTCTGGATTATTCAACAATTAGATATTTCAAACACCTAATATCTCAAGATATTGATACACAACATATCATATATAGAATATACATATTTAAGGAGGTGATTGTTAATCAATAGGGGGAGTCCGTCTAAAAGCCAAGYAATTGAACTTCTAAAAATTTTTGATAGAAAAAAGTAGTAACATAAAATTTAATTAAATCTAAAAATGGAAATGGGCCGGGCGGATTGCCTAGATTCTTTTCATTGCTCGACCTCATCAATTAATTTTAACGGTGCARCCTGATCCGTCCATTTACCGAGACTAGTTGTTCAAACCCCTTTTTCTAACAGGTTGGTCGCCTTTGAGTCTAGCGGGTCATTTTTAAAGTAGGGTCTAGGGGTCGATGTACAAAGACATGTCCTCTACTCAAAACGGTAGAGTGAAGACCGCTGACTTTTGCAAAAACGTAAGGAAAAAAGAAAAATTAACAAATATCGGAAAATAGATTATCGTTCAACTTACCTAGCTTGTCCAACGGCTCCAACTAGGAGCACAGAGGTCATACCCTTTAGAGCTCCGGCRGCAACTACATATTTTGCCCARTCCCATCCTACCGCTTTAAACGCTACCGAGAAAGGAGCATCGACATTTATCTGGTCATATGGTTGCATCAAGCAAAGTGTTATCGCCAACATGCAATATAGGATGGTTGTGATCACCATCGAGCCAACAAGACCGATGGGAATGTCTTTGGCCGGATTCTTAGTCTCCTCGGCCATGGTTGCAACAGCATCGAACCCAACATAAGCAAAGAAGAGTACAGCCGAGGCCTTGARCACTCCTCGGGCTTTTTTCGGTGCAAAGKGTTTGTAGTTCTCTGTGTYGGCRTTGATAAGACCACAAATGATGATGAACAAGATGATGATAATGTGAACAACTGAGGCAACGTAGTTGATTCGAGACGAGCCTTTGGTGCTGACAATCGCGATGATGCAAATGATCGCAATGACACCTACTGCGATTGGGTCCAAATGGTTGTAGTCCTTTGCGAGCCCRTGAGCTGTGATGCGGAAGTCGTTAGGCTCGTAGTTACAGAGGGTGGCAAAGTAGGATGTCCATGAACGCGCCACCGCAGCTCCGCCAATCACATACTCTAAGAGGATGTTACCAGCGGCAATAAAGGCCACAAAGTCTCCTAACTCCACCCTCAAATAAGCAAACGAGCCACCTGAAAATTRTGTACCATTAGACCATCTTTAACCTAGACACTAAAAAAATACCAAATCTGGTGGGCCAATTAACGCAAAAAATAAAATCAACTCCAACCACCAAGAACATCAAATTTKTGGACCGCATATTAAATATTCATTGAAGTAAATATTAATTATTAAAAGAATTGTATTTAWAATTAAATAAATAATAAAATCAAAATTCCTGATGGATCCTATGGTACCCGAATTTATCGTGTAAACAGTATCCCTCTAAATACAGAGGTCGCCTCACTTTCTCTCTATGTCACAAGCAAATTTTTTGTCGGTTTACAGTGCGATTGAAGAAGGTAAACACCAAATTTATGTACTTTCGGATTGATTGGAGATGCTCTACTAGTTCGTTTCAGCAACCCTGGTTTTTAGATCCTTAGAACATCTATACATTATCCAGAACAGAGCAAGTGGAAGAGAGATGATTAAAAAAACTTTAAATTCTAACTTACCAAAATTAAATAATTTAAATAATGATAGCAACAACATCAATAAATATGAATGTATTGTAAATCTAGATAGATATTAAATTTATCAGATATTTTTAATAATTAATTAATTATTAAAATCATTAAATGAAATTTATTTAAATGATTT